CTGCAGCATGTTTCGTTCAGGGGCCTTCCTTTGGCCACCTTTACTCAGGCAGCTGACGGTGGGGGCAGTGCAGCCCCCCTCAGCCCCGACCCCTCCTGCAGCACTTTTCCTCGAGGTGGTGTAAGCTCATCTGCCCACTAGGCCCGCTAACCCCCGGGGAGAAGAGAGCGAGGAGGCTGCACATCAGCTCCTAAGCTGGCCTTGTCGCCAAGCTCGGCCCCTCGGTGCTGGTGGGAGTGCTCTGTGCCACTTCGTGTAGTCTCGTTGGTGCTGGGTGAGAGAGCTCGGCTCCCTTGGGCTCACTGACCCTGGGGTGGGCAGGGGTGCCACTGGGGCGTGACCAGTCCCCTCCACTGCCTAAGTCTCCACTGCTCAACTCACGGAGAAGCCCCTGCCCCCATGAGTGGGGGTTGGAACTCCACAGCCTGCTCTATGGGGAGAGGAAGAGTCAGCCCCGCCTACCTAGTAACACCATGTGGGGGGGCCGTCACCACTGGCTTTCCCTGAGGGACAGCAGGGTGCTGCCGGAGGTGGCCCTCACTGGTGTTTGACTGAAACAGGTGCTATCAGACGGATCTTCTGTTGGTAGGCTGTCCTCTCCCTGGTCCTTTGTCCCAGGGAACAGGTGTCCTTTAGAGTTTTCTTTCTTTTTCTTTTTTGAGAGAGTGGAAGGGAGGGGGAAGGGGGAGAGAGAGAGGAGAAACATCGATGTAAGAGAGACACATGGATGGCTGCCTCCCACACGAGCCCCGATGGGGGCAGGGATCAAACCTGCAACCCAGGTACGTGCTCTTGACCAGGAATGGAACCCGAGACCCTCGGGTGCGCAGGCTGACACTTTAACCACTGAGCCACACCAGCCAGGGCCCTTAGAGCTTTCTGGTCTGTGCCGATTGGCAGTCCTGGGCCAGAGCTTCTGCGCACTGTCTGGAACAATGGGAAGCAATAAGGGACCCCCGGGAACCCGCAGTGGCATTCAAGCCCACGCCCCTTGCATGTGGTTGCCTTCTTTACACCTCTCAAGTCTTCCACATTTATTGAGTCCCTTCTGTATGTTAGGTGTTAACACTAGAGGTGACAGGTCCATGGATGAAAAGAAAGAAAACCGTAGAACATAGCACCATGTGTTAAGGCTTGTGAGAAATAGATGTGTAAGTGAACAAGCACTTGACAGGACACACAAATGGTCCCCACATGTAATAACACACTGGGACACTATCTTACACCAACAGGATGTGGCAAAACTCAAGAAGTCAGACAGTACTTAGTGTTGCCAAGGACACAGAGCAAACGGGAACTCCTGTTCACTACTGCTGGGGTTGTAAGTGGGTACCCTCGTTTTTTTGAAACACTTTGTCACTGCATAGGAAACTGGACACATACATACCCCGAAGTCCATAACTTCTACTCTACGCAACAAAGGCTAGAGAAACTTGGAGCGCGTCCACATGTTATATTTATATACAGATATTAACCACCCAGTGCCCATCACAAGCCAAATGGATAAATTACGGTTTATCCACACACAGAGTGCCGTGTGAGCACATGTGAACTGTAGCATACACATCAACACAGATAAATGTGAGGAGTGTGCTGAATAGGAAAAGCAAGTCACGGGAGGATATACACTGCATTTTTCAATTTACGTAAAGTTTAAAAACAGGCAAAACCAAGCAATGTCTTGTTTGAGGTAAAATTATAGAGAAACACACACGAGGTACAGTGGAAGCACTGAGGAGGAGCAGGCAATTCTGCCTCTTGTCTCTGTCAGCTTGGGATACAGAACAAATACCACAGAATGGGCAACTTAAATAACCGACATTTATTTGCTCACAGTTCTGGAGGCTGGAAGTCTGAGATCAGGGTGTTGGCAAAGCTGGTTTCCCCTGAGGCCTCTCTCCTTGGCTCGTAGGCAGTTGTCTTCAACTCGTGTCCTCACGTGATCTTCCCTGTGTGTGTCTGTGTCCTAATCTCCTCTTTGTCTGACACCAGTCATGTTGGATTAGGGCCCGCTCTAATCACTTTATTTTAACTTAATTTCCTGTTTAAAGACCTTATTTCCAAAATTAGTGACATTATGAGGTACTAGCGATTGGGACTTCAACCCTGGAATTTTAGGCCATAATTCAGCCCACAGCACCTCCCCATCTCCCTGGGCTGCAGGATGGTCAGGTAGCTGAATATAACTACATTTAACAAAGAGTTAATTATCACATATTCTGTTCCAAGGAATCAGAGCCAAGTTTTGAAGGATATCCTGAACGAACAGAATGATAAAGTGTTGAGACCTAACCTTCCAGCACTGTCTAGAAAGAATGGAAGGGTGGCCTGAAGGAGCTGCGCGCAGCAGACGATGCAGAATTCGGTTAGAGTGCTGACAGGGAGGAGGCGGCTGGGCGCGACGTGGCTGGTGTGGACGTGCTCCGACTCGGGAGGAGGAATGGCTGGAGTGTATGATTCCTGAGTGTCCCCAGCATCAGCGGAGAGCCGAGTGCCGAGCAGGCACAAACTCATTGCTGCAAGGACGTGTGTCTCATATTGGTCTCTTCACTTGTACTGGAACACTACTGTGAGCACACAAGGTATTCTTAGAAAATAACTGATCATCTAATCTTTGTCAAAATCATTTAGGCAATGTCATCTAATGGTCCCGGAAATATTGCATTTAGTACTTGGTTGAACCATATAAAATGGCCAATATTTGGTCATTTTCACCCGCAGAAATGGCCATTCCATATGGTGCGACCTAATTCAATGTTTGAGTTGTTTACATTTTTATTTTTAAGAGGAGAAAAAAAATGACAAAGCAATCCACTAAATCAAAACCAAAGCATATCTGCAGACTGTGATCAAATGGTCATGTAAGTAGAAACCTATTCCAAAAACATAACTACTTCTCCAAATAGACAATCTTAAAACATCTTTTAATTATAATCAAGAAAGCCAGGCAACAAAGGCATAACAGCCTTCTGCTGTGAGATAAGCTGCAGTGGATATGTGGAACTCATTTTTAAGGTTTTATTTATTGACTTTTTTTTTTTTTTTCAGAGAGAGAGGAAGGGAAAGGCAGAGAGAAAAACACACTGATTCAAGAGTGAAACATCGATCCACTGCTTCCTTTATGCCCCACACCGGGGATTAAGCCCAAAACCCAGGCATGTGTCCCAACCAGGAATCGAACAGGCAACGTTTTGGTGCATAGGACAGTGCCCAACCCACCAAGCCACACTAGCCAGGGCCGAAACTTTTATTTTCAATGCAAAAGGGCTTATGATATTAAAGTCTTATTGTGATATTATTTTATTACTGGATGTTTTATCGGCTGGCTTGGAACGAAGATTCACCACAGCTCCACTAGTGAATGGCCCCGTTGTGATTACTTAAAAATCAGTTTTATTTTCAGTGTTGGGCTAATCAAAGATCAGCTCGTGCCTAAAAGCATGACTAAAAAATAATGCACCGTTACGTAACAGGATTTGTCCTGCCATTTATCTGTACACAATGTTCAACCATCTAGCATGGAGAAGACCTTAAAATAAGGTGCTAATCTTGGGCCACATTTACAAAAATAAAAAGCACCACAGGGAATGTTGTTCTTGATTTACTTGCACAAAAATATATCAGTGCTTGTTAATTTGGAACCACAAAGATCCTACGAGTAAACTGTCACTTTTAAGCAAGCCCTGAAATTATTTGGGGCCCTTCAAATATTGAGAACTTGAGGCATGCACTCTGTAACACAGTTTCTGGAAATTTTTTCAGACATCCAGAGAATAGCCTGAAACAGCACCCAGGAGTAGGAGTAAGAATTCTCCACTTAAGAGAAAATAGGAACTTTACCGAAGTAAGACATGTGGCTATTTTCATGGAACCCAGAGTGATGAAAGCACATACTCTTTCTTAGATAATACTGGGAAGCTGGTTAGAGATATGACTAAGTCAGTCAGCCAGTACTTTGAGTTATGCAAATACACAAAGCAATCCATGAACCAACATTATCTCATAGCCAACGTTATGAAATAGAAAAACCCCAAAGTGGCAGAAATCATGCACTTCCTGTGTGATATGTTAGAGATCCTATGAGTATGGCAGCCTCTATAGCCTTTTCCATAGGACCAAAAATGTGGGGTAGTTTTATTGCACTATGAACAAAATGATGCCCTCTGGTGCCATCACGGAGCCTAAGAGGGCCTCGAGATCCCTGAGGGGCCCCATGCTGGGCAGCTCTCCCTGGTTAGCAGCTTCACAGGCAGGTGGCTGCAGAAGGGAGTGGAACATATTTCCGAGTCACTCAGACTGGCATTCTCTCCTCAGGCAAGTGTGAATAACATGTCTCTCTAGGTCTGGTAAGAGAAATAAGCAAGGCGGTGCATGTGCTCCCAGGGTAGTGACTTCTGAATGTGTGTGCTCTTGGCCCTTCCCACTTCTGCTGAGCTGAAATTTCGCAGCCCTGTAACTTCTTCCTGTAGGTAGATTTCTATTCTCCGGGCAACAAAGAATTCCTCGTCCATTCAAATACAGAAAGTCAGGGATCTCAGCAGCTGTGAGATTTTCCTCACCCACTCCTCTCAGAATTCTCCAATCCTGGTCCCCGACCCCCTTCATCATTCTGACCAACAGAGTCGGGATGGAGGAGGCCTGGCTAGCTGACTATTCAGCCTACAACTCGGTTTGCCCATCGGGATAATCTAACCGCAACCTGCATCTTCATCAGGGTGTGCATGACTCTCAAGCTAAAGACGTACAAGACGAGGGTGTGGGTTATTCTTTTCACTTTTATTCAAATAAATACAGTAATTGTACACAGCCTGATTAGTTCTCCCACCAGCTCTCCCTTTCAGGTTGGTGCACTTAGATTTCAGATGTGCATTGCTGGGGTCACATCATGGCTGTGTAGGATCTACCTTTAATTTGAAACAATTATTTCAGACTCACAGGCCAGCAGCTCTCATAAGACGAACCTCACCCACATGGGATTGAATAAGAAGAGAACAGGCATCTTTTTGGGTACAAAACATTTTAATAACATATCTTTGGATAAAATGTAATTGTTTTCTCTCCTACTTTCTCAGATCAGGCACTTGAAAATGAGAAATATCAGGAATGGGCAACCCAGTTCATTAAAATTCATTGGATTTGATTTCCTAAGAAAAGTCAAACAAGGTGGGAGAAAATGGCATTTAGTGTTTGCCACCAGTTAGTAAGGCTGATAATGACTACAATATTTTTAATGTGCTTGATTCACAAATGCAGAAGTTGGAGAAATTTCATTTGTTGTAAATGAGCTTTTCCTGACATTCTGTCTTTATGAGTAAGTAGTAACTTCTTTAGTCTGAAAATGGTTTGATTAATATCACCTTTACTGGGAAAAACTTCGATTCTCTTTGGCTTGGCCTATGGTACCCCCCCACCCATTTATTTGAATATTAGTTATGGCTTCAACAGCTGAATGAGAGTTTGGTTCTGCAAGGAACTAGTTCAGGAGGTTACTTCTTATCTAAAGCCAGTAGGGTGAATGTAACATAAGTGGATCAAAATCAATTTAAAAATCTTACTAATCCTAGACAAAAGGCAGTCAAAGGCAACTTGGTCTATAGTATGGCAGACTGGGAGGCATGGGCCAGATCTCACACTGTCACACTGTCAGCATGAACAGACATGGCTCTGGGGAGCAGCTACAGCGCCTGGAGAGCAGGGCCACAGAGCCCACCCCGTGAGACGGACCGTTCTGTGAGGTCCTGCTTCAGAGCGATTCCCACAGCGCCTCCGCTGATCCCAGTTCCTTTGTAAAGATGCTCTTCGGCTCAGCAGCAGCCCAGGGGAGTGGGAATAAGGCTTGATGTGTGAGAACCACTAGTGTCCTGTGACAGCAGAGGTTGGCAACATCGTCTAGAAGCCAGAGCAAATCTCCTTTCTACAAGTAACAAAATCCAACCATCTCACAGTCATTCCATTAACATAAAACTAAACTACTTTGAAAAATAATACACTTTGAAACCCTTTGTCACATTTATAAAAAGAAGAAAAAAATCAACAATTAAAAAAAAACCTTTTAAAATGTATCAACAGGCTTATTAAGAAATAGAAAACACTTGGTTTAAGACACTTGGTGACTTCCTTACTTCATGCATCAGGGATGGATACACAGTAGGTTTTACTACTGACATATATTTGGTAAAAACTGTAGAAAGAGTTCTGTCAACAAGGTAACTGTTTGGAAAGAAGAGTTACAACTTTTCCCATAATGTCAAAAAGAATAAGGAAATATTAATACAACAACATTAATTCAGTTAAATAAATAAAAGTGGCAGCAACTTCATAGCAATTTTTCAACACAAAAAGGTAGCTCAACAATATTTTAAAATAAATAATTGCTCCAAACAGAAACAGTCACTCTTAGCACAAACCAAAAGCACTGAAGTAAGTGCTAGGAGATGCAGCAGCTCCACTCCTGAAAATGTTCACCGATGAACAGAAATGCCACCTGGATCTTCTGGTCTGAGATATTCACCATGAAGGGAAAGTCAGCTGCACTAAACACTAGCCTTAGGGCTATCTTTTGTCATTTTTCTTTTTTCTTCAAGTATGTGCTTAAATATTTTCTTTAGGGTGTTGTAAACTATTGGTCCATTTTCAGAATCAAAATTAACCTGATGACAAAGAAAATTTATATTCAGGACATTATAACAAGAATTTTAACCAGTCAATTTTGGGAGAAAAGAAATGGGGTGGGAAAAACCTAACATTTATAAGCAAAATTATATATAAATTTAAAAGTACACACAATACCTTTCACACATTACTTCTAATTACATATTTCAATTGCCAATTACATCAATGCCAAATCTATCAATGAAAATCCAGAGACTTAAATCTAGTGCCTGGATATGTAGTCTACTCATACACTGTCAGGAAGCAACTTGGCAGCGAGTGTGCAGTAAGTTTTGGATCCAGAGTCTGATCACTGATGACATAAGGGACAGGTCTCCTCATGAAAACAATGTGCACCAGCCACCAGTGTTGCATGGGGCAACCTGAACAGGAGCCTGACTCTCCACCTGCCAGCCGAGCAGCCTTGGGTCATCCCTGACCTCTCTGTAAGAGGGAGGTGACAATGCCCATCTCCTTAGGGTTTCCGTGAGTACTAAATATGAGAGCCTGACATGTGTGTGACACATAAAAACCTATGTAGTAGTTTCCTTTCCCCTTGGTGGGAAGGCACCATATACACATATGTGAACTGCCTGCCCCAGCTCACTGTACTGCAGGGTTAGGAGTGATGTAGGACAGAGAACCAGAGCAATTACCATGCCTCCATCCCACCCCCAAAGAACCGTGTGACGCCTCTGACAGGATCAGATCACTTGGCCAGTGGCCCCCTCCTCCTGCATGTGGAGGGAGGGAGGGCTGTCCCCTTGTGACCCGCTGGGAAGGGTCTGAGATTTCACTCTGCTGACATGCTAACAAGTTCATCTGCCAGCTTGGGGACACTAGCAAGAGACACTAGACTGCTGGGTCAGAGACAAACAACCTTATAACTTGAACAATAGAATCACATGTGGGACGCCTTGCCATCCAAGTCCCACGGGCTGACGCGGAGGCCAAGGTGGAGGCTGCACCCAGCTGAGGATCCCAGTGCGGGGCTGCAGCAAGCCTGCTGAGCGCTGGCCTGAAGGGACACGCCCTTTTCACACGGGAGGCCCAGGATAAGAGCTGTCGCAGACTCTGCTCACACAATTACGCACAAGGGGAGAGACCCAAGAACTGTTTCCTGTTTTTACAGACAGATTTGGAACCGGTATATTTAACTCTTCACTAGTGTCCCCTAAAAGGCCAAAAGGAGTTGCAAAGAATTCCTACCACTTTTGGAAAGGCCAATATTAAGGGTTTTTTTCCAGTTAAGTCAGACACTTATTTTTACTTTAACCATTATATTGTCTATCCTACTTGCAGAAACTTCTTACTAACATTAAGAACAGTTTCAACTGTTTACTTTGTTAAACACTAAACCACAACCCTCCCCACAGGGAAAGTAGCCTCTTGGTCTGTGAAGGTCTATGAAAATGCAATAAAATATATGCGTAAAGGATCAGATGATTGGGGTTTGCACTGCTGATTCTGGAAACTTAGTGTCATAAAGCTCCAGATGAGGAACAGGAAAGCCTGCCGGAATAATATGACTTTGAAAAGAGTGAAGGCAGAGGAGACGTGAATGAGTACAAACAATACTGCTGTCGTCATTAATGTTCACCACAGACACTGTCATGGTTCTTGGTTTAATGACATTTTCATATTGTGAGAGGTACCAACAATTAGCTGAATGGGTAGGGGAACCTTTTCACTTGGCAGGAACCTGACCCTGTTCTTCAGCCAGGAAAGACTGCTATAAGCCAAAAGGATGTGCAGAGAAATAAAATGTTTTTTATTCTCTGCTTAGGATTAGTCAAGCAGGACATACTACCGAATCGTCAATGCTGGGTGCTAAATTCTCACTAGATGATTTCTTGATTAGAACCAAAGTAGAACTGCCTCAACAAGATTCTCTGACTCCTACTAGCACATCATTTAAAAATACTTTCTCAATACCCAATTGTTTCTCTCTTTATAAAAGCGCTTTGTTCCAATGTTCTCCTTCAAAAAACCCCACAAATCAGCTTTTTCTAATATCACTGTTAGGAAACGGATATTTTTTGGCCAAAAGTCTGCAACTACTTTCAAGAAATGTCAAACATGTTTCCATTAAGAGGAAACATAGGTAACAGTTTTATTTTAGAGGAAGCTGCTGACCTCTGGATTCTAACTTTCAAAGATCACACTGCTGGGGGTCTGCAGGAGAAAGAAGAGTGCCACCCACCTTAGTGAAAGCTTGAATGGCACGGGCAAGGACGGCTTCCTCCAAGTCTATGGGAATTGTCTGCAGGCTCACGATGCAGTGTAACACGCAAAGAATTGTCTGGTGCTGGCCCTGTTTTTGCAGAAATCAAAGTCAAACAAGTTTTTTTTAAATACCTCAAGAAATAAACTCAAAGAAAATGCAGAGCCAGGAATTGGCTTTGACCAAGTACTCATAACCTCCAATACTATACTGCCTACCAAGGGCTCTACCAGTGTTTACTGTTATGTGTTTGAAAGCTTTCAGGAGATAAAATCAAAGCTGGTTAGTTATTACATGAAGCACAATTTCAAATGAAATGTCTTCCGTGAAGTAAACTGAAAGGATGATCCACTCTTACTGTTGCTAGACACAATTGTGCCAGAACGCCTCCCTCATTCCCTCTGCGTGTCTGCGAGCACTAGCGATAGATGTGAAACGAGGAGACATGAAAGCATAGGAGGTAATGCAAGGCTGATTATGAGATAACACTATTTCCCAAAACAAAAACAAAGCTGATTTTTAAATGAAAATTTAGTATCTCTATATGGTTAAAAATACTAAATTGTAAAGAAGGATCTACAATGACTGCCAGTCTCCCTCCTGCCCTTCCTGATCTACTATCTCCTAGCATGTTCCCTAAGGCCACCACCATGATCAGTTTCCTGTTTTTCCTTCTATAGTCTTCTACATGTTATACATGAGCCACATACTTATGTAGGTGACACACTCCCCTTTCTAAGAAAATACCAGTGAGTGCATCTTCCAACCTACCTCACAGCCTTTCACATTATATGCTCATGGTAAATAAGTATAAACGAATACCTGTAAGTGCAATAGTTAATTATAACATATCCCCACCATGTTATAGTACCTGTCTATCAAGTTAATATTTATGAAAAAGTTACACTAAACATGGAAATATACCTGTTATAATTTTGAGCAAAAATGAAGCATAAAGTGTATGTGAAATGATTTTTACCAAGTTAACATACGCGGTTTATAAGGCTGAAAGACATGAAATGTTTAAAGTGGCTCTTCTGGGATTATGGGTATTTCCCTTTTTATTTTTGTACCTTCTAAATGTTTATACTGGGTATTTCTTCTTTTATCTTGCAAAAAGTTAAATTAGACCCAGGTACAGGATTCCATATGTGTTCCCTTTTTATAATGGAATTTTTAGTGAGGAAACTTATATAGTTAACTCCATCAACTGGTCCAACAGCTACTTTACCTTCTCTAATAGAAACAGTGCTTCTGCAGTGTCCGCACGTCTGTCAACCAACATGTTCACGTCCTCTTGGGTTATTACAGGCTCCTTCAGCTGCTCCACCCACGACCACATCAAACTGCACAGGATGAAAGGATCCCTTTCACCACATATTCTTTCCCAAGCTCCGTCTCGGGAATTTAGTTCTTTCTAAAAAGAAAGGAAGAAAAGAGAAAGAGGGAAGAAAGAGGACAGGAGGGGGAAAGGGGGAGAGGGAACAGGCACCATCTGACATTTGATGAACCTCAGGCTCTCCAGGAGGAAGTCTCAGGCTCTGGGTAAGGGCTGGGACCCCTCCCAGCACCCCCACTTCCAGGAGGCACATTGGGCTGAGATACTGAACATCTCTAAGCCTTGGTTCCCTCTATGAAGTGTGCCCCTGCCCCACAGGTGCTGAGCAGACTAACAGGTCTGCTAAAGCTCCTAGTGCAGAGAACGACTTAGTTAACCTAAGTTCCACCTCAGGAACTGAGGAGCAGTTCAGGGAGGGAGGCTGCCTTTGCAAGGTCTTGGTGAACAAAACAGAGATATTTACTGCAATGAAGTAGAATGGTAGATTAAAAATCATAAATAAGAGAACATTTGTAAATTAACCTGGGTTAAGTTAAAGCTTCTGACTGAAACTCCAAATTTCCCCTCCGAAAGTGCCTAAAAGTTGGTAAATGTGGTATATGTACTTCTTTCAAGTTCCTTTTTAGAATCCTATGTAGAGTTTAACACATAACGAGCCCTGTATCCTGAAATTTGATTGGATGTAAACAACTAGGAAGTCCTCCCAATAGTCCACATGCCTGGAGATAATTTAAGCAGATGATTTCAAAACTTTACCTCACAGAGAGCAGGGGAAAAGTGAGATAAGAATTTTAATTTCTGACAGGATATTTAATTTCAGATTTATGTTTTAGTAAATGAAATGTTTGCAATAGCAATAAGCATAGTAATTGCTACCATTAATTTGTTCACCCATTCTGTATTTGAAGAACATTTTCCTTAGGGCAGGAACTGTGATACATGGCTTACCTCTGACTCTACAGCAACCCAGCAGAGGCCCCTCTACAGACAAATGTACTGGGGCTCAGGAAAGATGAAACAACTTGCCCAGGAGCCCAAATTGAGAAATGGGCAAAAGAGACATTCCCATCCAGGTCTGCTCCTCTCTGTCTATGATGTTTCTGCTATGTAATATTTTTGGCACTGGATTTCTCTCTATTACCTCATAAATAAGTCAATACTTTGAGAAGACAAGTTGGACAGAAACAACAAAACTCCAAGGCCCTCTTATTAAAGACTATGTCATTATGTTTTCCGAAATCTTCAGTGGCATTAGGAAAGACATAAGGATGATGAAAAATATTAAACACATGAGCCGTGTCCTGGCCCTGGGGCATTCGGACCACATGACCTTTGGGACCCTTAGTTCCCCCATCTGTGACACTTAATTCATAAGGACTGCATAGATTAACAAAGAACCTGTAAATAATATCTGCCTCAAAGGATTACTGTGAAAATCACATGAGATAAAAGACATGAAAGGGCCTAGTATAGGCACAGGTGGCATTATCCTATTTAAATCATGTTCATTTTACTTTTTCTTTTAAATTATTTTTTATTTTTCAATTACACTTGATGTACAATATTATATTAATTTCAGATGTACAACCCAGTGATTAGGCATTTATATAACTTACAAAGTGATCACCTTGATAAATCTAGTACCCATTTGACACCATACAGTCATTATAATATTGACTATATTCCCTATGTTGTACTTTACATCCCAGTGACTATTTTTTTAAAAATATATTTTTATTGATTTTTAGAGGGAGAAAGGGAGAGAGAGAAAGAGAGAAACATCAATGATGAGAGAGTTGTCATTGATCGGCTGCCTCTTGCACAGCCCCTACTGGGGATCGAGCCCGCAACCCAGGCATGTGCCCTGACCGGGACTCGAACAGTGATCTTCTGGATCATAGGTTGCCGACGCTCAACCACTGAGCCATGCGGGCAGGGGCCTGTGACTATTATTAACTACCAATTTTTACTTCTTAATCCCTTCACTTTTTTTGCCCAGTCCCCCAATTCCCCTCCCCTCTGGCAACCATCAAACTGTTCCCTGTATCTATAAGTCTGTGTCTGTTCTGCCTGTTTGTTTTTTGATTCCACATACAAGTAAAATCATCTGACATTTGTCTTTCTCTGTCTGATTTATTCACTTAGCACAACACTCTCTAGGCCCATCCATATTGTTGCAGATAGTAAGATTCCATTCTTTTTTATGGCTGAGTCATATTCCATTGTACATATGCACCACTTCTTCATCCACTCTTCTATTGATGGGGACTTAGGTTGCTTCCATATTTTGGCTATAGTAAATAATACTGCAATGAACATATGGATGTGTATATCTTTTCAATTTGGGTTTCTTTGGATAAATTCCCAGACAAAGTCCATCTTTGTCTCTTGTTATAACCTTTGTTTTAAAGTCTATTTTGTCTAGTATAAATATTGCTACCCCATTTTTTTTTTTTTTTTACTTCTATTTTCATGAACTATCTTTTTCCATCCCTTTACATTCAGTCTGTGTCTTTCGATCTGAAGTGAGCCTCTGTGGACAGCATATGTATGGGTCTTGTTTTGTTATCCATTCAGCCACCCGATGTCTTTTGATTGAAGCATTTAAACCATTTACATTTAAAGTAGTTGACAGATAAGTATTTATTGCCATTTTATTATTCATATATTTCATCTTTTTTCTTCTTCTTAAATATATCTTTTAATACTGGTTTGGTGGTAATGAAATCTTTTAGCTTTTTCTTGTATGGGAAGCTCTTTATCTGTCTTAAGATTCTAAATGACAGCTTTTCTGGACAGAGTAATCTTAGCTGTAGGTCCTTGCTCTTCATCACTTTGAATATTTCATGCCAATCCCTTCTGGCCTCCAAAGTTTTTGTGAGAAATAAACTGACAGTCTTATGGGAGCTCCCCTGTAGGTAACTAATTGCTTTTCTCTTGCTACTTTCAAGATTCTCTTTGTCTTTAACTTTTAGCATTTTATTTTTGTCTTATAGTAGCTTTATTCACAATTGCAAAAACTTGGAAGCAACCAAGATGTCCTTTAGTAGGTGAATGCATAAATAAACTTGGGCATATCCAGACAATGGAATATTATTCAGCATTTAAAAACTCATGAAAAGCCATGGAGGAACATGAATGCACATTACTAAGTGAAAGAAGCCAATATAAAATGCCAACTTACTATATTATCCCAACTATATGAAATTCTGGAAAAGGCAAAACAATGGAGGCAGTCAAATGATCAATGGTTGCCAGAAGTTGGGGGGTGAACAGGTGGAGCACAGAAGATTTTTAGGGCAGTGAAAATATTCTGTATACATAATGATGGATACCTGTCATTATGTATCTGCCCAATGTACAGTAAACACCAAGAGTGAATCATAATGTAAACTATAAACTGTGGGTGACCATGATATGTCAATGTACCATCATAATCATCCAAAGCTCACAGTTTACACCACGATTCATCAATTGTAACAAATGTACCACTCTACAGGGGGATGTTGATTATGGGAAAACTATATTTGTGTTGGGGGCAGGGGGTATATGGAAACTGTGTATGTTCTGCTCAGTTTTGCTGTGAACACAAAACTGCTCTAAAAAATAAAGTCTATTTTTAAAAAGCTGTCTAAAGTCAGCACAATACTGAGAAGTTGTGTTTTAAAAATCAGCTACAAAATAAACAGTAAGGGTTAATGATAGTCTTTCTGATTGTCCAATAATGTTGAAACAATGAATGTATTGAAAACAAAAATGATACAAGAAACAAAGAAGAAAATAAATCTGTGTGATGAAAGAGAAGAAGTGTCACAGAAATGAGGGTTGTATATGAAGCCAAAGTAAAAAAAAAAAAAAAAAAA